CCACTGGCACTCTTGGAGTGGATGTTGGGGATGCTCCCTGAGATGAGACACAGAAGCTGCCAGGGGCTATTCTCATCAGCAAGGAGGTTGAGAAGAGCTGCCATTTCCAGCATGTTGGTTGTCAGGATGGCAGCAAAGCAGTCTGTGTGGTGAGACAGGTTAGTAATCAAACACATGCTCCTTGATTTGGAGAGCAATGAATAATGTCATACCATGTCAATTTGGATTGGTGTAACCCATCATCTGGTTCAGCCTGTGCTGATCCCAGTGGTGAGTAGATGCATCAATGGAGATGTCACACAGGATGATGTCCTAGCTTGGGATTTGTGCAAGTGACCTGGAGATGTTCAATGCACTTGCAGAGGTCCTTCTGGTTGGATCTGGTCTCATTGTGTGTTCTTGCTGGTTTGACAGGTTCTTCTGCTGAGTCAGTGGATTTCCTCTTCCCTTGGGCCTTCACTTTATGTTGCTCCTTTTCTTTAGCTTTCTCCTTCTCCTCTGCCTCCTTTTGAAGCCACTCTTGCAACTCTGGGATGACATCTTCAATGTTGATGTCTGGATTGCTGAGGATCAGAAGAAGTTTCTCCTCATCACTGGTGATGTGATGATCCTAAGATGAGGATAGATTAGCATATATTGACTGCAATTCATCATGTACACAATAAAAATAATGGAGCATATATTGACTACAATTCATCATGTACATGTACACCTTAAAAGAACTATGGAAAAGGAGAACATACTCCAACTTTCTTGCCTTGCTCAGGAACTGGACATGTCTCTGGCAGGCAATGAGGAGCTTGGTGAAGGCTGGAAGAGAGTACAGTCAGCACAATGGGATAATTATTAGAAATACTGGTGGGGAGCATACCCTTCTTGCTGATCTTGTACTTGTTGCCTGCCTGGATCTGCTTGTGCTGTTTGGTGGAGATGTGCTTGAGGACATGAAGCAGAATTGGATTGGAAATTGATTGATTGCAAAGATAGAGAGGAGTGATTGGCATGGGTTCTTCAGATTCAGCATACAAATTCTCAAGGTAGGCAGCACTCTTGGGCCAACCATCAATGTTGAGGAACTTCTTCACAATGCCCATATAGTTGTGCAGATTTTCTCATAGTTTCCTCTGTTCTGCCTCATTGAGCTTCTGAGCCTCCAGCTGCATGAAATGGTGGAGTTAGTACATGTTTGGATATATGTAATTTTTTGTTGTGTACATGTACATGATGAAATATATCACTGACTCTCAAAATCAACAGCAGTCCCAGCTCTCCACAACCCCTCACTCAGAACCATTGCACAAGAGAAATCAGCAAGATCATGAGGATACTGACACCCACACCCACAGACACAAGCACAGCCATGGATCACAACACAAGCGCCACAAGAACAGGAGCAGGAGCAGGAGCTGGAGCAGGAGCTGGAGCAGGGACAGAAGCCCTCACCACAACTCTGACATCAACCAATTGCCTGACCTTGGGTCACTTTCCCCTTTCCACTCTGGTTCTGATGTGGATAGAAGTGAATACTAGACTCTGTCTTTCCAATCTTTCCAGAATTGTTGGTGCACAGGGTGTTGTGGTGCTGGAAGAAGTCCTCCCACTCATCCTTGTGAACAGCAGCCTCATTGTGCATGTGGTTCCAGCCCCAGGTGAGGATGTGAATGTCCTCCAAGACTGTGTTCTGCATATGGAGAAAGGGTATTAGTCAGAGCAGGGACATCAAAAAAGTACATCAGAAAATAAAACATACATCAACAATGTCACAACACCACTTGAAAGACTTCCCAGGG